AAAATGTTACAGATATAAAAGGTGGATAGCAATAAACTGGATCTGACATCTATTAAAATTATCATTTGATATCTACATGCACAGTTTATATCTGAAAATTTCATTTCAGCCACAAACTCCATAATATACTACTACACACACAGTGTAAAATATGATAAACTGTCTAACAGAAGCATAAAAATAAAATCAGACATAATCTAACTAATCTAGGAAGTTTTACATCTTCACTACTGAAATACAATGCTGAAACATAATCTAAGGTGGCTGGATATTCAAAATCATGGGGCACCAATGAGAAGGCACGGACTCCCTACATCAGATCCTCGGGTCCTGCAGGATATAGCCATTCATATATTTTGGATAGCAAGAGGCATAGTCCGACTGGAAAAGAAGTTCTATATGAACTTGGTGTCAAGCCATGCAGAGTTTAAAGTTGTAAGCAATACCTTGAATTGAAGCTAGAAATACACTGGAAGCCAAGTCCTGGGCCATGCCCCTAAAGTCCAATGCATTAAAGAAAACTGTATTTAACCTGATTAGTCGATAGGCTGCTACATTTTGAATAAGAAAATTATCTTCAAGCCCTGTATACATTGTGTTACAATACTGTATTTAACCTGATTAGTCGATAGGCTGCTACATTTTGAATAAGAAAATTATCTTCAAGCCCTGTATACATTGTGTTACAATACTCTATGCATGAGTTAATAATAATTGTTACCTGGCAGGTTTTGATGAAAATGGCTTGCAATTTACACATTCACTGCAACCGTTCTAGCATGGATCATGGATCTAGGAGAACCTAGAATCTTATCCAGAAGAAAGCTGGAACTATGATCAAGCCAGATCAATCATTATCAGCTTTCTCTTGATGGGATTAAACCAGAGTTTTTTGTTTAATCATCCAGGCTCCATAGTTACCAGACATCAGGCCAGGATTTCCACTGCATCTCTGCTCTGACTTTGGATAAGAACTAGATGGGTATCCTGACCATGTTGATGATATCTCATACAAAATCACAGATTTCTTTCAATTGCTTCAAAGAGATCCTAGTAACATGGTGAAATTTAGACCCAAAGGCATCAACTGGGTATAACTTTACCTGACTCCAGCACCACAAAATTAAAATTTGGTAGGGCATGGACCAAAGGTATAAATCGGGGGTGTTTAAACTCAAGGGCCATGGATTGCTTAAATCTGGCCTGTGAGACCAACCTGGAAATATCAAAGGACTGGCCTGTGGTGCCTCTGCTGGTCAAAATGGGCCATATGGAAGCCTTGTGAGGCTCCCACGCAGCCCATTTTCAGCCTCCCTGGCCTCCAGCAGCACTCTACCACCAAAGACAGGTTCTGAACCCCATTTTTGGCTGGGAGAGTGCTGCAGGTGGCCATGGTTTCCAAAAATGAGGCATGGGAGACATCCCCTGTGCCCCATTTTTGTCAACAAAGTGCTGCAGGAGGCATCTGTCCTCTCTCCACCCACTCCCTGCCTCCACTCCCCCCTGCCACAGAGGAGAACTACAGTGCTGATTCGGTCCTCAAAGAAATCGAGTTTGACACCCTTGATATAGATAGAGTAATTCTATTTACATACTTGGTCTCCAGAAGTTTAAAACAAAAAAGATACTGATCTTTTTTCAGGTGTCTAACCAATTAGGGTCAGGAAAAAGATTTTATCTGCAAAATAACTCACAAATATATTACAGTAGCCTATAGAAGAAATCTTCATTCCCACATTTGAATGGGTGGGTACCTGAAAAGAGCCCCTAGATATGATTTGGCAAATGCAGTAAGAATAGAGGAGTAAGAATACTTTACCAATCTTTATCATCCCAATATAGTTTAAAAAATGAGTTCACACTTCAATTTTCTTCACACTAGTTTCTCTTTACTTATTTCATGTCCCACAGAGACTCCAAAAACAAGACTTTCTTTTGAAATTATGGTGCTATAACATTTTGCACAACATCAGACCTAGGAGAAAGATGCTGTTTGATCTGAAATGTGTAAGTCAAATGGAAGGTCTGCAAAATGTAATCAGGCTTTCAAACAGTGAATAGGAGCAAGATGAATTCTAGTCTGAAGGTTAAAACAACACAGGCAAACAGTACAGTTTTGAAGAAGCAGTTGTAAACAATAGTAAAGAAGTAAGCTAGAGATCAAGAGTTCAAGGAAACGCTAGAGTAATGTTTAGGATTTATATGTTAAAACCTTGTAGGCTTTATACATGGAAGATTACAATACACTTTCCATAACATTTTTAATTCAATATTTTTATGCAAATGACTACAACTGGATCCAGTTGATTAGCCTATAATGGAATGTAACTTTCTTGTGGAAAAAAACTGATTCTGAAAAAAATCTTTATTGTCAAAGAACCCAGGTCGAATACTTGCACTTATACTGCATTATCCTGCAACAGTACCATCAATGTGGAGCGGTTGTTTGATTTACAGTTTTGGAACAAGTTGTTGGAAATGATGTTGCCCCTGGTCATATCTTAGAGTGAGATACATTACAAAAATTTTTTCATTTTCCTCTGAAGAAGATTCCTCAAAGGGTTTTGACAGGAACCCACTTAATAATGACATCATTAGATGTGACCAGATGACATCTGATTACTTTGCAGAGAAGAGGTGTAGTGAATGTTCTACTGGTTATTATGAAATCAGTCTAGGAGTAACATCATTTTTCTATTCCCCCCCCCCCAGCTTTTTATAACATTTTCTTCAGTATTTGCACCATTATTTGATGGTTTCAGTAGCCGTATGGTTCAGCATAGCACTACTTGTCTGTGACCTGAAGTAATTTATCTACAGTATGTAACAACCATATTGGCTGTATGATCTACACACAATACATCTTGAATATGAAGACCATAAAAGAATTGTACAGCAATAATACATTGTATGTATTTCTTGTACTTACCCACAAAATATTAAATCGTCATACTTAAAATGAGCACATTTTAACTGTTCATTTAAATATACATGACAGGAAAAAAAGCTGGATGGATATTCTGTAATGAAGTAAAAAACCTGGCAAATGTATATCATGCAGCTTTGCTCATTTATTCAAAAATTTCATATTTCCATTTGGTGAAAATATCATGTTTCCTAATGTTAAGCATTATATACTTTTACTATATAATATGCTATTCCAAAAATACAGAATAATTTATCATATAATTAAGACTGACTTGTGCCTCCAAAAGAAGTTCATCTTTGGAATAATTTCCAATTATCTTTAATACCCAGACGCTTATATTTAAAGGTATCTTAATTTTAAATTCCATGTGAAAGTGAATACTATATTATAAGCTTCCTAGAATATATTTGGTTATAGTTGGTTAGCCATTGAATTCTATCCAATTGAACCAGTGACTTATCCCAATTAAGTAGTCCATCAGACTTCAATAAATTATTTTAGGATGACAGCATAATCTGAGAAATGGGTACAGAATCTTACTAAATAATTTTATCTCCCACTGATTACCATTCTAAAATCAAATTTGCTGCCATGCAATTGTTGTGGCAACCCAGGAATTCCGAGGGGGAAGAGTGAGAGGGAGGGAGGGAGGGAGGAGGAGGAGGAGGAGGAGGAGGAGAGAGAGAGAGAGAGAGAGAGAGAGAGAGAGAGTTTTTGTTCATCCATTTAGACAGAAGAATACTAATATTGGCAATCAATATTATTTATATTATAGGTAACCCTTGACTTATAACAGTTCATTTAGTGACCGTGCAAAGTTATAACGGCTCTGGAAAAAGTGAGTTATGACTGTTTTTCACACTTAGCAATTGTTGCAACATCCCTATAATCACTTGGCAACTGATTGTTACCTTTTATGGTTGCAATGTCTTGGGGTCATGTGATCCCCTTTTGCAACTTTCTGACAAGCAAAGTCAATAGGGAAGCCAGATTCACTTTACAACCATGTTACTAATTTAACAACTGCAGTGATTCACTTAACAACTGGGGCAAAACTCACTTAATTGTCTCATTTAGCAACAGAAATTTGAGGCTCAATTCTGGTTTTAAATCGAAAATTATCTGTACTTTATCCATGGATTTTATACTTATTATGTTAACATGAGTTAAATGTAGCAGTACATAGTGTCATTTATAAAATGCAAAAGGAGAGATTTATACTTTATAGCAGGCCAAGCAAGTATAGTCATCCATTTGTTGTGTTTTTACTGTGATTTGTATAAATCTTGATTTAAAGATTTAAGATTAAATCCTAATGTCTTCTGTTTGTGTATTCTGACATGGAAAACTAATCATAGTATACATTGCACTGAATAATTTTTTTGTAAACAATGAAATTTATTGTTCCATATAGCAACATAAAATATGTAATGTAGATATGTTGTTGCTGCAAGGACAATGTCATTATTTCAGATTAATTCTGGTTGAAATCAGAGTCCTCACTGTTAATGTCAACTCCCAAAAAATATTCTTATAAAATTCTAGAAAGTTAGATATTTGGGGAAGCCAGTTCCATAAACGACAAAGGATATATACATATTCTAATTTTACAATGGCTGGTAAATTTGAGTAATGAAAGCACAGTAGGCTTTATTTTCACAGAGGCAGGCATTCTTTCTATGGGTGTTCATTATACATTTGTTATTGTTTTGTTTGTTTTCACATCTAATGACCACAGTGATCAAGATTCTATAATGCAAGTAGATATGGCCCCATCACAAAAATAGGCAAGACTATTTTATGGAATTTCTTACTTTTGTTTCTTTTTGGGAAAGAATTGCTTTACTTGCAAACAAATACTAGCTCTAATTCTCAATGTTTGCTGAATTTTAATATAATCAGAAGAGCATTTAAGGACTGCAAAAAAGCATTTGAGAGGATACTATGACAGTTATGTATCAAAAGGACATTAATTTATTTTTCATATTTTGTAATTTCCATTGTCAATCAATTCTGGTTTTTAAAGATTTAAATGCAACATGATATGTTAAAATGTACAAAGACATCTTACCAATACTACTGGACAGATTGAGGTAGGAGGTAGAATGTGATTCTTCAGAATACCACAATCACATTCAGGCTTTAGATGTGAAGCACACTTATTATGTAGCTGTTACAAAAAAGTGATAAAAATATTACTATGTATTAAAACATCAATGAATTTAAATGTGGCCAAAACAACATTAGAATGTACTATGTTTCAAAATACTAAAAAGACTCAAACCCAACAATCACAGAAATCTCTGTTATATTTTTATAACCAAAGCTTAACTGTTAAAGGAAAAAGATTATAAAGTCACCATCTTTAAAGGCTCTTGTTAACAATGATGACATAAAACTAAAATAACTACATTCTATTGTATGTTTTCATATATTTCTATATCATTTGTTTGAGTGGATGTATCTCTGCATAATCTGCCTTTTATATAGAAGCTGTAGGCAATTTATATTGGGTTAAGGTCATTTAACACCAGAACAAATTATGAGATACATTGTGATGAGAGAAAACAGAGATGATTACAGTAAAGGACTTTTTGTGTATTGTAACAAACTAGAAAAAAAAACCTGCTACTCAAACAGAATCCACATGCCTTTTTTAAAAGCAGTAGCACTTAAAACTTATATGCTGCTCCATAGTGCCTTACAGCACTCTCTGAATGACTTACAAATGTTAGTATTTTGCCCCCAACAATCTGGGTCCTCATTTTACCAATCTCAGAAGGATGGAAGACTGAGTCAAAAAAAAAAAAATCTCCTTGCATTCTAGTAATTTCTTTTCGAGATAAGGATTTTTAGGTTTTTTTCAATTATTGTTATTTCTGTAACTATTGCTGCTGTTGCTGCTGATGGTAACAGGTTAAAAGTTAATATTTTGTTTCACGTGTATAGCTAATGCTATCATCCTTGTGAATAAATAACTCACAGACAGGATGAGATTGCTGCCAGTCCACATTTTTCATCAGCCAACTGGGTAAAATATTGCATACATAAACATCATTACATATACACAGATATACAGAAAAGGAGGAGGAAACAGCATTTATGGATCTTCTGGATATGCAAATGTATTCAATAATATTTACTAATTTAAACCAATAGGGGAAAAATCAGAATGTGTTGTGTTGTTGATTAAAAGACAAGTAAACAAAAGCTATTAGCACAATCTTAAACATGTTTAATGAAAAATTAGTCTCATAATTAAACCTTTGAATTTTTAAAAATGTTTTAATTGGAATCTTACAATATAATCCTAAGCATGTCTATTCAGAAGTAAAGCCTTCATAGATCAAATGAAATTGTGACTAAAGTAGTGCAAATAGTACTGAAGATTAAAGATGGAAATCTAAAGACACTTACCTGAAAAAAGCCAAATACTATTTACTTGAATTGAATAAATAGAGAAATGCATTGTAAAATTGAAAACAAGACTTTTTGACAACTTTTGATCATGTATAATTTGCTCAGGCTTTTCACCTACTGTATGGAGCTTCATTGATTTTATTAGTATTTATAGTGTAGATATTTTATTATTTTTAATGTTCTATATTGTCATTTTGTTTTAATGATGTAGAAATATTTATAATAAATAAAATATACACAAAAATGAACTATAAAAGCATTAAATGACTACCAATTAATATCTAAATAAAATGATTTGCAAATATATAATTGTTGACTAACATGAGGTAGATAATTTAGCCCCTGTGTTCATTTGCCATTAATTAGCATAGTTTTATATCAATATTTTTTGCTATCAGATATGCTAGTTTTAATTACTGGGAAATATCCTAACAAATTAGGCATATAAATTGGATGTTTCTCATTTATACAACATAGTTAATAAGTAGCACATAAGTATTTGCTTTAACAGGTGATCGTCCTCAATACAGTAAAATATGTTGTCTAGCAGCTGTTCCATAAATCACTATTCTCTAGTTTGAATGAGTGATTTAATTTTCTTTGGATAATTTATCCATGTTTATGATACGAGATTGATATATCAAACTTATGAAATATTAGTTTAAATATGAAATATGCACCTTTTGCCAATTACATATTCTTTAGAGACAGAGATCTAGCAAAAGATAATTTGACTGCTGTATTTTTGAATTGGAAAATGATTGGCAACTAATAACATCCCTGTATACATTAATCATTACTGCAAAAATACCTTTTTCTGCCAGTTTCCTAGCAACAGAAAAGAAGTATAGCATTTTTTTTCCCATTAAGTACCGAAGTTTTATTGTGGTTGCCCTATAATCTAAAACATTGTTATGTTAATTCTCATTTTTGGTAGTAAAATCACATTTACTATAATTAATGTACATTAATCCATATACCATCCAATCAAAGCATTGTTACATATGAGGTGATAATTAACAGTTCTCCTGCTTAGTAATATGCTATCAACAGCTTAATCTTCTTATTAGGTAGAACTGATCTTTGAGAAAACAAGTAAGATGTAAAAGGAATTGTTTAATATTATATTACAGAATGGATAACCATATTATAGAATAACGTTACAGAAATTAATCTGTTATCAATGGATACATAACTGTGATTATTGTTTCTATCACAAGTACTCAGGATATATTCTTTACTCTTTCAGAAAATTCTTTGAATGTTTTTTTCCTAATTTATAAAAATCATATATTTTAATGATCTTTATTTATTTTTATTAATCCAAGACATTGACAAGCTGCACCAAAACCACCAGGTTCTAATACACTATTTATTTCTTCAAAAAACTAGAAGTTGCTTGGGCTTCAGAATGATTTTTAATTAAAAAAATAATGAAAAGTGGAAATCCAATGATGCATTTTGAAATATTTTAATAGATGGAAGAAATGTCAAAGTTAACTGCACTAGTTAAGCACAAGAATGTAAACAGTTTTATAGTTAGTTGCTTCTGGGGGGGAAATGAAATATTATTGTTATAGAAATGACTAGCAATTATTATTAAGTATAACTAAAAAGTCGATTCTATAACTTTATTATATGTCTTACTGCACTAAAAAGTTGGAAGTCACTGCTTTTCATTTCTTTCCTTAATTTCTTTTTTATTTATTTTCTTTATCCAGTTTCCTTTTCCTCTATTTTCAGTCTTTATTTCTATTTCCATTTTATGTTAAGAAAAAAAACACTATTATATATGTTCGAGTAGAAATCATCTTGGATATTTCAAAGCAATTACCTTGGAATTAATGAGGCAAATAGGACAGGTAGGTGTTTAACTTGTGTGCTTTTGTGCATGTGTAAAGGAGCATTTATTCTGATGTGGGAATGGCAAGTATTAGATTTGTTTGAAAAAGTTATTTTAGGGTACAGGAATGCTTTGTATTTTGTTTGACATTTGGTTATGATGTTATTTTTTATTTTTGTATTTTATTAGTACTTTATTTTTGTCTGCTGGGTATATATTTATTATAAATATGAACAATTAAAGCAGTCTGAGAGGCCTTTTTGTGTGTGTAAATGAGAAACCTGTTCATTTTAAAGTCAATTTTTAAAATCCAAATGAATTAAAACTCACCTTATCAACAAAGAGAGGTTGCTCCATTTTTTTAATGTCATCATAAGTAATTTGTGTCATGCTACAACTGTACATTTGCAATTATTTTTAAATACTTTGGTGCTAACATTTATGCATGTTTATTTCTTTATTTATCAATCCTAATTGTTGCCATTATTAAAATATTAATTTTTTTTAGTAGAAGTAACTAGATATAATGCTATAATATCTTAACTTTAATTTCACTATTATTGATATTCCTGCTAATACTTACTGTGATTTGGCACCAGACACAATGTAAGCCGGTCAATCCTTGGTAACATTTAATAGTTTTATGACATTTATCACATTTTGTTGGACAATTTCCTTCCACCCAAAAGTGATGCATAACCTAGAAAAGGGCAAAGGAAAAATTATTTTTACGACAATTTGTACCAAATAAACCACTGCCACATAAAAAAATATTATAAGTTCAATAGTTAATGCACTGAAATAAACAGCAGATTAATACCCAGGAGTTTAAAAAAATGACAATATATCTTACGAAATAGTAAAGCAATACATCTTACTAAATAATAAAACTCTCACTTGCCTTTCAAATTTTGGAGAAAACATTCTCCAGGTAAATTATTAATCCTGAGTATCTGCTTATTCTTCTTTCCCAAAATGGAAAGAAGAATAACAACTCCAAAAAATTACCCCCTTTTTTTTTTAAATAGGGGATACTATACTTTAGACATCCTGCAACATTTAGAGTGTAAAAGAGTTAGGTAAGAACTTTAAATTGACATTGGAGACTACACTGCTCCCTCAACAGTAGCAGAAAAACATTCTTTCTTTTTTTACTGCAAGATAGGAACTATTGCATCCTGTTTTCTTCAATCTGTATTCTTCAGTAATGTTGATAATTCTTCAAAAAAAACCCCAACAACTACAAACTGGCAATTCTGGGAACTCCAATTCTAATGCCTCTAGAGGTCCAAAATTTCAGATATTTAACAACTTGCTCAGAAGAAAGTGCAAAATCTAGCCTTCTGTTTCTATATGCATGGGATTTAAAGAAATTTCAAACTAGCTACCAGGACTATATCAGGAAGGCATCCTGAATAAAAATGTCCAAGGACACATCCAGATAGCTGCATTAAATATAACTGTTCACTTCATGACCTGGCATAAACATATGTTGGATAAACATTGCTGATCTCTTAAATTGAGCCTGGAAAGTGGGGTTGTCCTTATTGACTTAACATGCAACAACTTAATAAATTTAACTTATGGACTTATTTCCTTTTCCATTAAACATCATTTGCTGATGAGAAAAACAATCACCAATGCTCTCCTTAACAGGAGCTATCATACAGATTTGGCAAACATAGCTAAGTATTTAGTACCAGTAAAGTGGCCACACTATTTAGTATCAGGTACATAGATTTTTGCATCTGGGCTAGTTCTGAATACAGGTTTAGAATAATGATGAAATCTATCTCCCAAAATACCTGAGAAATCACGGTTATGGAAGAGTGAGAGCTCCACTATAACCAGTTCTATAAGGGAACAGGAGAAATGGCAGCATCAAAAAGTAATCTCTGGGATAGGCAAAAAGTTGTAGCACTTTGTCCTCCACCAGTATAATAAAATAGTAAAAAGTAGAAGCCACAAAAAATCCCTTGACAGCAGAAAAATGTAATGCCGTCACTGGTGACAGACTCAGCAACACTGAGATAACAAACCTGGATCCCTTTCCTAGTCAACTGACCTTCATTGCAGCAGAAGATTAACTTTCAGAGTTCTTGTTTTTTAAAAATGGGGTTTATGCTCTTTTTAAAGGAATGCTAAATTTCTGTACTGTGTGTAAGGATTAAAATGCCGAGTTCTAGCCAGCACCTCAAAATGCATTGGTCAGATATTAGACAGACAGATGCTCTGTAGAAACCTGGCACCCAGCATCTCCTGCAGCCAAAACTAAATGGGCAGTGATCAATGTTCAGAGACTGGAAAAGTGCCGTCATGAAGCTGAAAATGACTCACAGAAATCAGGTATATCCATGAATGCAATAAGTCACATCAGTGATGATGAAGCATGCTATACAACATCTATAAAAATTTTATGTCAGAAGAAGATGCAAAACACTGCTTTAACCCAAGAAGAGTAAAGGACTTTTTAAAGTGCTTCAGCTGAGGGCTAAAGATGAGATGAAACTTCAGTATAAAAAAATGAATGCTGCTATATATGATTGCCAGAGTTATGGAGGTATGCAGATTAATCTCAAATCTCCAGGAATGTTGAGTAATGGAATCATCAATGGAATCATCAATAACATTATGTCTTAGGTTACTGTAAAATCTCATAGAGAATGTTATGCCTCTATTTACAAAGCTATTAAAGCTATATTTAGCACACATAACTGATATATCCATATCCATATATACATTGTCATACATATATAAGTATATTACAGTCACAAATGCCTTGTATATACAAACACACATGTATACAGAGGCACATGAGAATTCCACAGACTTGAATGTCGGCTTACTTCAGTATTCTTTTTTGATTTCACGTATGTTTTGATACAAGATGCTGGTGCTCTTGAGACACATCGTTCATGGACAGTGTACTTGCAAACTAAAAGAAAAATATACTTATCATGAGGAGTTTTGCTAAATAAATATGAATTTTCAATGGCCTATTAACTACTCATTCTTCTACAATTTACCTACAAGAATTATATCCAATTAACTCTGAAACAGAAAAGACTGTCCAGTAAAGAAAATAACATTAGCAGAGTTGGAAAAGAATCTAAGAGTAGTCTTCAATAATAACTTTTGATTAAATCAGCCCTCACTAAGCTGTTCACAATAATTCTGAATTCAAATCAAATAAATAGAAGAAATGTAATTGGCAAATGCCAAATGTTTTTCCGTCATTTGCCAAGATGAAGAAATCTATATTTTCTAAACTATAGGCATGAAAGCAGCTGGTACAACAGAATACGAAAGGCAATGAATTTGTCTTTCTCTAAATGGCTAATTAGTCTTGTTTCCAGATAGTAGCTTGCTTGCTTATTTATTTATTTTTGATTTGTTGTCAATATCTTCATTTCAGCAAATTAATTCCAACTATTGCAAACTTCACTATTTTCTAGGAAATACAATGTCATCTTCCTTTTCCATTCTGATAAGATTCAGATTTGATTTCACAAAACATCAACATTTTTGAATTGATCGAATTAAGATGAATGTGTCTCTGTGACAAAGATTTAACATTACATTGGCAAAGAGTAATGTAATTATAGCAGTTGAGTTTGTCTCAGAGAAATCATTGCCTTATTTATTAAAGAACCAACGTAAATTAAAATAATAAAGTAAAATTGTAAGAGATAATAAAATATCTCTTCCCGTTTACAAATGCTGCTGCCTCTCTTTTTCTTCAACTGAAACTAAAGCGTCAGGAAGAGTATCCTGCCTTTAATGCTCCACTCAGTCACCTCTGACTCTATTTGAATTAAGGAACTATAGGATTGCAAAAAGAAAAGAAAAAAATAAGAACATGCTATACAATCAAATCTAGTACTATGGAAAGCTATTAATCAATAGACCAAAGAAAGCAACTTAATTGATGATTAGAGAAGGCCATACCTAAAGTCTCTGGAATGTTTTGTTTACCACAGCATTATAAAATTTCTACCAATATCTCAGAAATAATAAATTGACTATTTTAACTGGCAATAAGGAATCAGAGGAGTTTATCCTTAGCCAATGATGCCCATAGATGGATGGAAGGCACTTAATAGTGTATTTTAATTTTCAAAAAATTAACACAATATAAAACAGGAAGATGCAAACAGAAAGAGAATATATCATTTTCTTCCAACTCTTTCCTTCCCTTAGCTGCATTCTAAAGTGGATAAGACTGAAGGATGATAGATCTTCAAGTGACTATGTTCACAATGTTGACAGGGATTAAAGCAAAGTTCTCTGTGAAGCTGCATTTTAAATTAGTGTCCTTGCTTCTAAGAATAGATGTGTTTTTATCTATATCTGCATCAAAGAATAAACTTTTGTTTTTTTTTCATGCTTCATCAGGAGAATAGTACGTAGAGGAGAAATAAAGTTATCACTAAATAAAAAAAAAACAAAGCTAAATGAGGGACAAAAAAGATTAAGTGCTATGAGGGACCATGAGAAATACCTCAATGGACAGATTATGCTGAATTTTTGTATTGATTTGATGTACTACATTATATTAATGGCAAAACACACTTCATTGAAATGAATCATAGTTACCTCACCTGTCTACTGTTAATAAGCATTAAAACCTGTCTTTTAATGAGAATTTAAGAGGAGATCCTGAATTAGAAGGTTATATATGCCATTGGCTTTCTGATATGCCCAAGTAATAGAAAGATTTTGAAATTGGTAAAATGGAATTTGATGTGGAATTGGGTACAAATGATTATCATATTATTGCTAAAATCTAAAAAACCTACCCTTACTAAAATGGAAACATTATGATAATCTGGGTAAATTTCTGGTACAGTGAAAATGTTTCCAATCTGAAAGTACATTTTTTTAATCTTTTGTGAACATGTAAGAAAGCTAGAGAATATATGTATTCTGATTCTGAAGATTTTAAAAGTAAATCTATGACTAAAACCAGAGCCTTTCCCTTTGGGATAATGAACAAACAGCTTGAGAAATGTTGTTGACGTTTGTTTTTATATATGATAACAGCAGAGCTTACAAAGGTGGAAGGATTTACAAATGTCTACATTGGACAAATGGATAGTTAAACTGATGGAATTGACAGAGGGGAAAATTGACAGCTTCCAAGACTGACTAATTTTAATTTTACCTAGAAAAGTTTCTTTGACTTTTTGCAAGAAACTGAGAGAAATGAAACTTTTATTTTGGCATTAGATTATTAGAATGATGTGGAATTATAAAGTAAAATAGTCTATTGTTGCATGTTTATTAAATTTATATCTGTATCAAAGAAAACCTGGAAGTTACTCTTTTTCTTCTTGCTTTATTTTTTTTCTGCACTTTTATCTTACTTTTTGCTAATTTTTCATTTTTTTCTATTTTCTTTTTCTTTGCTTTAATTTTACTCCTGTTGTTAAAAATTAATAAAACTGTAAATATAAAAAGTAAGCATTAAAAGAGGACTAGAAGATCTATGTTGTTTTTATTTTTCTAGTAGACAATAATGTGCCTGTAAGCAGAATCTGGTTCAAGAGTCATTTAGTAAGGTGTACAGCACCTGGTCCTGAAGTTTGAGTTCCAGAATTAAACTGAGCTCACAGGCTTTTCATACAACAATTTGCAGTAATGAAATTGTGGAAGCTATCTTCATTTCAGAAGTAATTAAGAATGGAAGGAAAACTATTTTGTCAGTGCTGTTGTTAATTCAATTAAAATCAGAAACTTTTTTTTCTGCCCACCTTTGTATTTAAAGATCAGGGAATGAATCATGATGGGATGGAAAGAATAAGAAATAAGCTTATTACTAAAACAAAATAAATAAATAACAAAGCTAAATGAGGGAGAATAAAAAAGACTGAAATAAAGAAATACAATATAAGGTAAAACAAACCCTGGCATTTGACTTACTTAAAATCTAATCTGAGTACTTTAACAAATATAGACATTATTTGATAAATTGACAAAATAAGGCAATGGCTAAGCTTGCAGGGTCATGATTTCTAGCTCAGCAATACCATTTAAATGCTAAAATATACCCAGTAAAAGATATGGTTTTAATCCTCTATATAGAGTGATACAGAAACCATTTTTTGACTGGCAGAATTATTCTACTCTGGCAGAGTCAAACTTAACTGTAAGCCTCTTTCCATATAGTTTGCTAAATATGACTTTTAGACTCATTATGACATTTTCCCCATTTTGCTTAGCTTTGTGTGTGTGTGTGTGTATGTCTGTGTGTGTGTGTGTGTGTGTATGTGTGTGTGTATCTATTTGTTACATCCACATGAATCAATATACAGTAATTGTTTTATGTGTTTTATTTTAATGTGTTACACTGAATATTTACAAAGGGTGTGAACAATTGCGCACAGAAGTTTGGGTAGCACCCAAGTACAATATTTATCTTTATTGTCTCATTTAAGGCTATTCACAATGGCCTAATCTAAAAACTCTTGGTTCAAAAAACCATGTGCTCTTATCAATCATTTTATCCAGGTAACATTCAAAGCATTAGCAGAAACAACCAGGATGCATACTCACACGAACAAGAGAGACCCTGTTTGCCTAATCCTATGAGAATATTCAAACAGAGATTACAGTAGGCAGGCTTGTTAAAGTGTTTTAGTCTCCATACATGCTGTCCATCATCCTTCACATTCTGCAGAACACATAAAAAGAAATAGATTTAATTTAATGGCATAAACAGAAAAGTTTTTAAGTGCCAATAAAAATTGAAATTGACTCAAGAACATAAAAGACAATCTGCTTCTTCATTTATTAATTTTCAAGAGATTACAACATAATTTTGCCAAACAGATATGTAGAGATATTGTTGCAAAAATGGAAGACAGAGTGGTGAAAACTCTAAAAGTTTTTAGCATAAATGGTTAATAAAATGATTTGCCTAGATAACATGCACACAACCATATTCTAAAAGATAGGCTATATATGCCTAGGGTTTATTCTGCTACAGTTTATTCTGCTACAGCTACAAATTCAAGGGTCCCTTGCTGCATAGGGCTTTATGAAAAAAATATTATTTTAGTACTGGCTTTTATCTTTATCATAGGTTATGCATGAATAATGATTAATAATGATCAAGATTTAATGAAAACACCCTAATTAAAACATCTTTACTTAGGTAAAACTAAGTATAATAAACAAAAAGTCAAGAAGACAAGGCTTTCATAATAAAACATTTGTCTATTAAATAGAACCTGAATTAATTGAGGACTATACGACTATAACTAGTAAATTGCTGCTGTTTATTTAAAACAATGGCCACTATATATGAACAGAACATACGGACCAATCTAGCGGGCATAAAATACAATATATTCATTTAGAAGATAGCGTATTAGACTTCCTATCAAAGTGTTGATCAAGGGATCATGGTCTCTTGAAACTTCTTATACTTTTTTCAAGATCTTAAAAAAAACCCTTGCATTTTTACATAACGTTCTGGAATTTAAAATAATAAATACAATAAAACGCAATCTTTAAGCCTAGCATGTCTTATCCCATTTCAGTGTGGGTCTTGACTACATATAGATTTCCCTTCAATATTCTCTTGAGTAAACATTTTAAAAATAATTTTCTCTGATCATTATTAAATCAAGTGCTTAGAGAAATGGAATGTTTCATTGCTAAAAGAAAATGGAAGTGCTTTTACTTCACTATATTTAGTTATGTTGAAATAAAAGAAACAATGCAGTTGTTAATGAAATGAGAATGTAGAATGAAGATTAATATCAGCAACCTATAATAATTACTGATTTTGGAAAATCAATGAGTTGTACCAAAATATGGACTTGACATTTTATAGATAACACTAGCTTTATAAAATCTAGGGTTTAATTTTACAAAGTAAAAAAAAAAATGCTATTGATGTTAAAGAGTGGATTCAATAGTTCCTTATTAATTTTTAAATGTATTTACATTATAAAAACAAGAATATGAATGAATACATTTCTATTTAATTATATATGAAAACATTGAGCGATCCATATTACTATATCAAACTCTTTTTTCTTCAGTTCATTTTATTGCCCACAAGTTCAATCTTTTTAAACTTTAAAAAAAATGTATTTAGTTATATAGAGTTGGTATTCTACTTACTGTATTTTTGTTATTCTATTTCACCAAAAATATTACTTTACTATAATATACATTTAACTATGTATCAACTTTTTAAAAAATGTTTACAAGCAACCTAGGTTTGAACAGGTTTCATTCCTAAATCTATCTTTAACTCAACTTTGTATATAAATCGGAACTGGTATTTATTACTATTACTAAAAATGGAAGTTCTTGACTACCTTGAGTCAAGAACTGCTGAAAATCACTAAAAGCAGATTGTACGTTAAAATTGTACGGCTCCAGTTGTTCATGAAAATATTTCACAGCTTTACCAATTTTTCCTCAAGGAAGGAGATGATGCCAGACATCATTTTCAGAAGAAGACAGGGCATTGGAATGCCATAAATCGGATATTCTTAACCCAGAAATTGTTCTCTGCCAAATGCCAATGCTATAACATGAATTTTTATAACTATCTCATATTATAAAAATATTACTATCCAGAATGAATTACACAGAATACGTTATTATAAAATATATTCTGTATAATTCATTCTGGATCTAATATTTTACTTGTTTCTTGTTAAGTTTACTGGAAATGTGCTTGGGCCATTTACTGCACTAAAACATTGAACACATAGCCAATTGACATGGATTTGAGAACATTCCTGGTAGCAAAAATGTTTCATGCCTCAAAAACATAAGGCTTTGATCGTGCGGTTATTTCCATATCGAAGTGGTCAATCTCTGGATACATTTGGACACTGGAAAATTATATACTGAAGTTAATGGTTGCATTATGTTTTCATTTTTCAGTTTAAAGGAAGACTGTTTATACAACTTCTTCACTTAATGGAAATTCTGCAAAGTGCATTCAGACAAATATAATCAACTCTCATTTTAATTTAATACACTTTATTGTATTTGATATGGCTGCCCATTCTAAAATACTCTGAGTGGCTTACAAAATCCAAAATAATTAAAACAGTTAAAATTCACATACACAACTTGGTAACTTTTATTACAAAGTACAAGTTAAACTCTTTATTTAAACTTTGAAAGGAAGATAAATAATAGCAAGATCTTATTTACTTGCTCAAACAGACTAGCATGCCCAACCTGAGGACAGAATTAAACATGCCATCAGTTTTGAGTCATTGTGTTTCCACAAGAAATACAAGTCTAGCTTCCTGTGAATTCCATTGGCCCTTTTTTATCAATTTGGCTTGATAGTTGCAGATCAAATTCTGTGTAGGTAGCATATAATAAACATTTAGTGCTTTGAACTCAACTCCTGTTCCTATTATTTGCAGCTGTTACTTTGCTTTTTTTTAAAAAAAGTTATAAATAGTTAGGATGGTACATGTGGGTACCATTCTGCAGATTCCAATAGATGTCTTGGAACATCTGACAGTGGTCCCATGCACATAAACATGGGGCTATTGATATCAATGTGACTCATGTGTTTGTATGTGTCTCTTATTTGTGTGTGTGTGCATAAAATACTGTTTCAATTCTGTAAAGAAGGTACATGATCATATTGTATGAAAATTGCAAAGTAAAGCTTTACTCTTCATTTTACTATCATGCTTTATATTTAGAATTATTGTGTATTTCAAATAAAAACAAAGAACAAGTTCTTTTAGGATTTTAAAAATAAATATTAATATTATACAAATGTGTGTATGTGTGTGTGTCCCAATCTTTCTAAGTTATACAGATGTTAGCAAATATTTTTATTACATCTTAATCTAATAGTTTATGAAAATTCTCTAAGAGAATTGCAAATGCTCCCTCCTGTGGAAAACCCAAAGAATAGCAATGAAGCAGTTTTTGGCTATTATTGTTCAAAAAGAGAGTTTAGTGATTAGCTTTATGTGCTATTAATTTTCACATTTCACAAAGTTTCCTATTTTCTAAAGAAAAAATGTTTTGAAAAGGATACTGTATAATGATGATAAAATTTTGTGAATAAACAAGTTGTAATAAATGTCTTGTCTGGACACACTCTGAAACTGGAACAAGAGGGAAATGGTCTATGATTCTTCACACTTTTAGAATATCTATGGATAAACTTCACTACATAATTATTCATTTTCAAATTGGAATAAAAAGCACATACTGCTAACTTTTTTCAATACTAAACAAGCACTGTCCCCGATATGTACTGTATAGCATATAAGCATTAGGTATTTATATTGAACATGTAGACACTTACAGTGCTTTAAATATATTTCCTGCCAAATGAAGTAGGACTCTCCATTATTCTAGCCAAATTTATGATCTACAAAGCAGTGTTGAGTGTTCCACAGGGAATACACATTGGCAATCATTGTGGCATTAATCTTGCTTAGCTAAATCATTCTCTATGGACCAATTCAGTTGTAATATTTTTTATACTTGGGCCTAAATTTCCATAAGTATTTTTTTTTCCTTTTTAAAGAGTCATCTGTTTAAAGCTTCTGTTGGTTGATTATAAGGTAAATTCCCTAATGTATTTCTTACAACCTTTTATTACAGGAAAATATTGTTGCAATACAAGCCTGACATCTAGTGGAAAAAAGGTAGTGGAAAAAACATAGTTAAAATTCTGAATATATTCACTCCAAAAATCATTGCACTTTTTAAAAAGCTATATATTCTTTTTTGCCAAACTAAAATAGAAGTTGTTGAAAACTTGTGGAGGATTTCCACACTTAAATACAGACATGTTTAAGAAGCAGATTAATAAGGAAATGGGCAGAACAAATCTGGAATATACACAGAGAGAGAAACAATGAAAACTCTTTCAAGTCCAGTCCAGTGTCATAAACACATATATTATTGTTTATTGCATCAACTCCCAAACAAATTTGGGTGGTTAAAACAAACAAAAAAGCCTACTTATTAGAAGAAAATACACCAGAAGAAACAATAAAAATTGTTCTAAAAGTACTGTAGTTATGGAATGAACAAACTAGTTAATTAATGAAACAAAGTACAAAGTACAACACTAAAGTCAAACCAAAACAACCCATCACCATCCATGCTGTCACATTGTGGATGAGCAGCAGCTTCTGGGTGGATTTCAAGATCAACAAAGTAGAGTGCATTATAGTAACCCAACCATGAGATGATGAACTCACAAATCTCTGTCTTAAGAGACTCCTTATTGAAAGAATAAGATGTACCTATTCTTTCAATAAGGAGTCTCTTAAGACTCCACAACTTGTACCTATTCATTTGATTTGCCACAATTTAGGAATATGGATTTCACCCACATATTTATGTTAAACTAGACCGGCATGGTAGCATAATGGTGAAGATGTTTGCCTTCCAATCAGAAGGTTGAGAGTTCAATCTTAGGTAGCAGCAGATGTTTCTAGGATGTAAAGAAAAAAATCTTCTGTGAACTCTGTGTGGTGTCAGGAAGGGTATTGCCAGTAAGTGCTCAGTCCATCTAGTCACCCCAACTCTACCCCAAATTAAGGAATTACAAGATTGTAAAAAGGGAGTTGTTTATTCACGTTAAGCTAGTAGGTGATATTATCCAATGGTTTCATGAAGTTGTTCATCAGCTGGGCAAAATGTGTAGAATCCTGCACCACTCTAAAAATGAGGAGCCATGGTCTATATTTCTCTATGCCTGTCAACCTTGATCAAAGCTGGACACAGAAAATGAAAAACCATTGTAAATTGGAACCTTCCACTTTGAAGCTGGTCCAAAATGATACCATGATCAACAATACTGAAAGCCATTGAGATATCTGGGAGCTGTTGTGGTCCACCAATGGCCTGTGGAGCTGGCAGCAGAGTTGGACAGTGGGCCAGTCCTGGAGTCTGGGGAAGGCTTGAACGAGGGATCTGCGTCTGACACAGAGATGGGATCAGGGCCATCTGAGAGTTATGTGTGGACTCCAGAGCCTCCAGAATCTGACATCAGTGAGGCAGAGAAACAGGGGGATCTGGTTCCCAGTGCACACTTGCACAGAGCTGCCAGAAGGCAAGAACAGTTAAGACAAAAGGGGCAACTCGAGAGTAAGGCTTGGAGATGATAGGCCCCTCCCATAAGACATAACAGAGGAGCAAAGGGACACGAACCTTCGTAGGAAGCAACTTTGTTTGTTCTGGTCGGTTTAAACTCTGAAGCTCTGTGTGGACTTTGTTCTCCGTTTGGCCTTGTACAGCTAATTGATAATTTAGTCACTGGCAACATTTCAAGGGAGATAAGGTGGGTGCCTATCAGCTTTATCCCAAAAGAATGTGGCAGACTTCTGTTGAACTATTCATAAACTGTTTGGGACTCATTATGGGCTGTGAATGCATATAATTCACAGTCATTGAAATAAAATAAAAGGTGCCTTAAGAATTAGAACAAACTGGTCTTCCAACTAGCATAAAGATCATCCCATGCAAGATTATTTTGTCCAAACCATATAACCTCTCTCTGTGGCATGTGAAATTCAAATAACAGTTCTCACCCAACATATTAGGCCTAGTGTAGTGTCATCCATGAAGAAAACCTTGCATGAGCTAGGAAGGCTAACCAGTCTTCCAAGAATATTGCACGCTAATACAGCTGATTCATTATCTCTAGAATTCACATAAAATCAATAGATACATAGTTCACCATTTCTGATTATCTTATTTTTCACAAAAATCTGCATCAGTTGCATTCTCCAATAATATGCCATAGAGTACATACTTCATATAAAAAGCATCACTTCTGAGACATGCTCTTCTCCTGTTATTTTGTCCAGCAAAAATGCCCAATGTCAAACTGATTAGTCTTCATAATCCTTTGACACTATTTGATTTTATTTATTTATTTATTTTTATTTATTTATTTTTATTTGTCAATTGCTTACAAGTTAATAGGTATACCTAAAATGAAACTCTAACCCTAACCCTAACTATGAGAATTGT